CGCATTAAAAGCAAGTATTATCAGCCAAAAATTTGCAGATTACGAAATTTAAAAAGAGAACCCTTAATTGCCCAAGATAGGTATGATAGGGGTAACACCATAAGAGGGAAGGATAATCACCATATTAGGAGGGCCAATTAAAGCAGAATGAAAGTAAACAAAAATCTCATGTAATAAATGAGAAATTGGATTCTCATTGAGGAACAGAGATGCGGTATGGTGCTGGATTACAGATATGAATTTCGTAGAAGGTAGGTAGAGAATCGAAGCAAGGAGAATAAATGAAGCAAGATATACTTCGATTGAGAGGGGATTAGCACAAACATTTATAGCATAATCAGCAATGAAGCGCGAGACTGTCTTTAGCACAAAAAGAAGGTATAGGGCTTGGTTAGGCATCGCAAAAATGTGGTAGACATGAGTTTTAGATAGTACAAACAAGCAAATGTCAGCGAAAGTAAAACAATTTATTAAAATAAAAGGAGATGAACTGAAGGATATGGTCAAGAATCGAGGGATATATCCTTGTAAATATTAAGCACCGGACACAAAAAGCATCTAATAGTATTTCGACAAACGTATGAGACATATCCATAGCTGAAAGTTTTGCATATTTACATAATAAGTTAGCAAAGTTGCAAGGCTAGGAGCACTACTGATTCAAGGCATGCGAAGGAAGGCTTGGCGAATTGAGACTAAAGCCAATATGAACGAGAGATTGCTGATGGAACCGAATGCAGAGGAATGGGATGATTTAAGACTAAATGGAGGCAGTTAGGACGGCAGATCCTAGCATAAGAGCAGAGGTTTTCACGGTTGTGACCGATATTACCCTTCTTGTCGTTGTAGAAGAGCTAGTCCAGCAGCAGTGCGACTTAGTCCAGATCTCTTTGGCCGGCCCAATGCGAGATGGTAGTAAAATCTGATACACCTCAGGCCAATCTCTGAAGGGATCAGTGGGCTCCAGAGCCGCGATTGCAACGGAGCCGAGTCGTCACTGCTGGATGAGGCAGCTCGACTGAGAGAGGATATAGGTTTGGTCTGACCAATTGAGGAGTCCGCTTCACCATCTCCTCCAAACCAAGTGAACAGACTAGATGCCTGCTCCTGTGGAGCCAACTGGGCAGCTAAGAAGCAGGCGCTAACAGTCTCCTGATCGGGTTTTCTTCCAGTCTTACCAGAGCTAGCAGCACTGAGGTCGCGGAGAGAGGCATCGAAGCTGGAGGCATTCACAAGGGACCAACGATAGCGCCAGCTATTCGGATCATTGATCCAACCGCACCAGTCGTCAGCAAATGAGCAGTAGTGCTCACGCTTGCGGCCTCCACCGCTTCTGGGTGCACCAACTGACAGGTCCAATCAGGCAAAATGGCGTGAGGCGAGTGGTCAAAAACCGAGTGAGCAAATATGAGTAGAAGGAGCAAGACAGTAGGAGGCAAGAAAATGGCTTTAATCCGAAAAGAAAGTCTGTCAAGCCTAGCTCCGACATCCACTTGTATGCAAGAAGAGAAATTTTTGCTCAAGAGCGTTTGTGTACATATGTTTTAGCCGGAAGGGAGGCAAAAACTAGAGGCCTGGTTGAAGGAAAAATTGTAATGGTCACATAAGGGAAAGCAGAAATACACTAAAAAGCAACGGGGCATCCATTTCATATGAGTAGAGATGATTATCTACCTAAGGTGGACATGGATACACTAACAAACATCTTTTTGTGCAAACAGATCAATATGGCGATAGCTTCCCCAAATGAAACCTTGCAAGCATACACTGAATTCAGGGTCGAGTTCGTATGCTTTCAATTCGCAAAGCAATAACGATACAGTACCACGGCATCCCCCAAATACGGATGGTCAGACCTTTATGCTAAAAAGATGCATAGTACTCATTAA